ATTCTTTTCAATTTTTTGCGTGAAAATTTTAATTTCTGCTTAATTTCCAGAGGAAAAATAATAACAAGAATTTTTTTCTAGATTACTATAGTTACTAGCAGTCGTATAGTGTTTAAGGAAGAAAGATGGCGATTAAACAGTACCAAAGAAATGAAGCCTTAAACATGACAACAAAATAAACACAGATTGATGTATATTTGGTGCCGCCGAGAGAAGTATGAAGTGGAGAAGACGTAAAATTTTAGGATGAATGACTAGTTATATCTGTTAACATAAAATATCAATGGAATCAAAAATTTTTGAGCATCATCTTTGTATTGTCCGGAAAAAAATATCTTTAGGGAAGAACAACCAATCAAAAGCACATGAACAAGAAGATCAAAAGAAGAAAAAGAAAAAGAAGAGGGGATAAAGAAAAAGAAGAAGAAAAACGGCAACTATAACGGCAAAAAAAGACGGAACAAAAGTGGTTGGAAATTATCTATAAACAAATTTTGCATAGGATACACACAACTATCAAAAACAGTACTTTTTTTTTTTCAATTCTACGCAAAAAAATATGACTTTTTTTTCTGATACAGAAATATAGATACAGAAATAAAATTTCAACAGTATAGTTTTCGTGAGGAAAGAATATTATCATATCAATATATCTTTATGATATAAATGGTAAATTAGATGAAGAAAAGAATAAGGGTATAGAAAGTTAATTGTGCTGACGTATTTCGTTTTTCCTTTACAACCATTCTGGTAAGTATACATTATTAATAGCCAAAGTTCCATTGTCAAATTATCTGAGTGTAAAATACTGCTGCTAAAAAAATAATGTCAACAGCAACAAATGAAAAAATTTTTTTTAGAAAAAATTTAATGAAAAAAGTTCTAGAAAAAAAAAAAAGCTTTTTTTGATTTGTTAAAATTTTCTCACCTAAAAATAGAACAATTTTATGAGTGATTAAACAAAAAAAAAATTTTTTTTTTGTTTAATTACACAAAGACAATTTTTAGCTCAGCAGTTCAGATAAATGTATGCCCAGGATATTTTCGGGAATCCCATAAGGGCGACAGCTCCGCCGCTTATTGTCGTTAAATTTCATCTGCACATTGCTGATTGTGCATAGATAGACAAAAAAAAAAAAAATTATTTCACCTCTAATTTTACTGACGACAAAGAGTTCTCCTGCAGACTAGCTAGCATCTAATTTTAAATTTACTGGCCTAATCAGACTAAGACTAAGAACCATACACAACACTGCTGCTAATCGAAATGTTTTTCGAGACCGCAAAACCCGCAATCAGTTTAGACACTGTGTGCTCATAGCAAAATTTTCAACTTTTACATTCCTCCTCTTCACCGGCCCTCCTCTTTCGTTTTTCTCTCCTTTTCTGTTCTTCTTTTTTTTTCCCCTTCTTTCGTCATATTTCCTTTTCTTTCAAACCTTCCGTTTTTCTTGACCGGCAACAGATCTATGATTTAAAATCGTCGTTTGTTGGTTAGCTGCTGACAATAGATTTGCATAGACTAAACATGCATCATACATGAAGTGGCATTGAAGTTGTACTGTTGTCAACAAGTCACTTAGCAGACACCTTCACCTGATTTGCAGCTGAATGGTTCAAATGGTACAACGCCGATCTGCAGTTTACGCTGTCGACAGATTTTTTTTCTTTCGACAAAGTGCAATCTGTATGCTGACCTCCACAGTACAATTCAACTATCCAGATTTTGATGTCAAACTATTTTGAAGCAGTTTTAATTGATAACAATCCTTACTTTTTTTACAAAGCCGGTGAAGGTAAACATGGTTATCTGAACAGCCAACAAGACTTTCTAACGATAGCCGTTCTCTTAAACTGGTAAAATCGGTTTTTTTTGCCTACGAAAATCCGATACTGGTAATTTTCAAATCTGTTCAATTGTGCTTAAGGTACTTTGTAATGCACTCTCCTTTATTAAAATTTCGCTAAATTTAGTATTTGCATCTGAAAGTTCAAATTGTGCGAACTTAATTAATTTGTTGCCAAAAAAGGAAATATATTTCTATTCATCAGTTCAGACTCGCTGAAAAATTCACAAACTAATAACAAAATGTTAAAAAAGTTAGAAAAAAATTTAATGAAAGCAAGCTAATTGATAAAGCTTATAGCGTTATATCCTAATGCAATTATTACTTAATAATGAAATTTATACTGTTAGCAAAAAAAGCCTTTTTTCTCTTCTCAAAACTGACAAAATTTTTTCTGAAAATGACAGACAGTTATTAAACATAAATTTCTTGTATTATAAATCGACGGACCTGTTAAAGCAATTAAAAAACTGAGAAAACAATGACAGCCAAAGACTTGTTAGATGCTTCTGATTAATGAATGTCAAAATAAATCCAACAGCTAGGACAGATTCAAAACTTTTTAGACGCACAACAAGCGTTAATAACCTAGACAACACTTTTTTAAATGCTGTTTTGCAGTTAGCTGTCCAAAGGCAAAAAAAAGAAAAATAAAATATACAAAAAAAAAGTTAAAAAACCAAAAAGTACCAGCCAGAAAAACTTTTTTTAAGAAGAACAGTAGGACAGAAATCGCCTACCTTGGAGTGTAAAGTGAATGCTCGGAGTTGTTGAGTGCCGAGTCCGAATGACTATTCTGTAGATCAAACGCTTTATCAGAAGTCGAAGGAGAAACCGAGTCCTTAAATGAGGTGAAAGCATGTTTATTTGAGCAAACACGCTTGCATCTATTACAATTTATTGCTCTGACATCCTCCTCAACTAGCAAACACGTCAACTTCAAAAACAATCCAACCATAAATGATGAAAAAAATCAAGAAAAAACTTTGCAAAAAGTATACGTCACTGTACGACAGAGCATAGAAAAAGTACGAGTTAATTAGAAAAGCGGTGCAAATGATAAAATGAAATAAATTAGGTTCCTCTATGAAATCTGTACCAATCATCACAGTTTTCCATGGTTACCTATACCTATTGTGTTTATTGAATGTTTAATCATATTCTAAGCTTTACGAAAACCTTTAAAAATTGCATTACGTAATTCATTTGTAGTCAATGATACAAAGGTTTGTGCTTTTTTTTTTTTGTTGAAAACTCACAATCTGTTGATATCCGTCAGCAGTTGGCTTTAGTTTTTCGTTCTTCTCTAAATTGGTTTCGCTGTTAAGATATGCTGAAGATTCCTCCGTTTCGCCTGGAGCCAATTTTTGTACACTTCCGTCCGGTATCACATCATCAGTCTCATAAAGTCCAGACTCTTCTCTTGGAACAATATCTAAAAAAACAGGTTATTATTAAAAAAACATTACAGCCATCAGCAATATTTGACAATTTCAATATATATATATATATATATA